TGAAAATGAAACCAATCATGGAGTTGTACAGTTTTGTGATTGATCTGTTCATTTTGGCAGAAAAAACTTGACCATTTGAAAAGTCTTGACCTTTTCAATTGCGAAGTCACAAACTTGAATGACTACCGGGAAAGCGTCTTCAAGCTCCTTCCGCAGCTCACATATCTGGACGGCTACGATATGGATGACCGCGAGGCGTCGGACTCTGACGGAGAAGCTGATGGAGTCGATGATGATGATGATGATGAAGGTTGGTGTGGCCAGCTCTGTTTCAGTGTTTAAACAGCGGTTTGTTTATTTTTTAGGGTTACCAATGTTCATTTATGTCGCTTTAATCACAGAAGGAGAAGAAGAGGAGGATGAGGAGGAGTTTGATGAAGAGGAAGATGACGATGACGACGAAGATGAGGTTGAAGGCGAGGATGATGAGGATGGCAGTGGAGAGGATGAGGTACGAGTTTACTATTATGTGTTGATTTATGGAGACTAAGAACACAGAAAACATGGCTTTTAATTACATGGCTTGTTGCTTTCAGGAGGAAGACTTTGGTCGGGATGGAGAAGTAGAGGATGACGAAGATGATGACGACGACGATGATGATGAAGGTGAGATATTCAAATGAACCTTTTTCTGCTTTTATGGCATCCTTTAGTTCTGTTGGTGTCCAAGCGATTTTTAAGTAACATTATTTTTCTCTCGCTCAGTCGAAGTGCAAGGAGGAAAGGGTGAGAAGAGAAAACGAGAAGCCGATGAGGAGGAGGATGATGATGATGATGACGACGATGACGAGGATGATTAAAAGCCATTGAACAACTCTGTTACCAACCCTTCCCTCTCCTTCCTTTCCAACAACTTGGCTATCCCATCAACCTTTTCTCTCCCCCTTACCCAAGCGCTAAGCTCCCTGTGGGGGCAAGACTGTACCGGACGGGTGGAGCTGTTCATATGGAGCCTACGAGCTGAATGAAAGCCTTCTGGGTCGGTGGCTTACTCGGCATTCCACAAGTCCACTGTCAATCCCCTGCCCGTTTGTGTTCCAAAAACCTTTGGGGACTGGTATTTAGTTTTGGGTCTGTGCTTTTAATATTTTGTTGAAAGTGTTTTTCTTTCTTTCTTTCTTTTTTCTTTTGTTGACATTTCCTACCCCTTTAGTTTTTGTTCCAAATTTCCCAATACAATTGCTATAGCAACTGTGCGACAAGCGGGCCATAATTTTAGTGTGGCAGCCTGTGGCGCAAATCAAGGTTGTAGCTACATTTTTACTTTCTGTAAGACAAAAACTTTGTAAATAAAATAACATTTTGTGCTTTGCTCGCTCTCCTATTTCTCTGTACTTTGTGTAAACATTTATTGAGAGGTTGAGGACTTGTGTATGTTTTAAGATAACCATTACCTGCAGGGCAGCTGGAAAGATGGATCTTTTTTTATCAGATGCACAATTGTCACTTATTTTCCATTTCCATTTAATTTTCTTAAATGCAATCAAAACCAAGTTCCATTCAGGTTCATTCTTCACTGCTGAAACATTGTGACTTTTACCTTTTTGCCAGTTTTACTTTTGAAGTTATTGGGATGAAATAGTTATGACTAATAACCTGTAACATAATCAACATGCAGTGACAAACTAATAAAGCAAATCTGAGGCCCCACACAAATCCAACCAGGAATCGGAAAAACAAAATATAACTGATTTTTTACTTTATAAAGTCATTATCAATTTATGATGAGCTCCTCTAACATGGTGCCATACATATGACCCTATCACACTACATAATTATTTGTGACTTGCTTATTGTAGTCAACATTAATACAAACATTTTATGAATAATTTTGGTTTTTTTGCCCAGGAAAAAAAAAAACATATGTTTTCACAATGGGAACATGCCATTAAAATAACTCATAAGCTTGTCAGCGAAAGTTGATCGGTAAAAAAGTTCCATTAAATATCAAACATAAATGGTAGCACAAAAAAATATTAAACCATTGTACTGGCCAACCGAACATTGTGTTCAACAAATTGTATGAATTTACACATGTATGTAACGCCCATGTATGAACAATACAACTTGAGAGCTTGCCCTGACCTGACATTTCTTAAAATACGTATTTCTTTAAATCACAGTTCAGGCATTAGGTTAAAATGTACCTTCATTATCGTGTGTTCACTTATTTACTCAACGACTTTAGCAAATGTTAGTAATTGACAATTATTTTAATATCAGACTTTTGTCTCGTAATCCTATTGAGGTGAGAGACAGACAATCTGAGAACATCCCTATGCAACAGCTGTAGGTTTTTGGAGCTTTAAACTCTATTGTATTCAAAATACAAAATTAATTCCAAATTGCTTTCACCTATTGAAAAGTGGTTGCGTTTCCTTTCACAGCCACATGAGGACACCACATCTTTTGGTTTCTGTCATGGTTACACAAAAATGTTGTGTAGTTCTGTAAACAGGGATCATGTAGGACCCCTGCAGGACAGGGGACAGGTCAGTGTACAGTGTCCTGCTGTCCACATACCTGTCAAATATTCTACAGGAACAGGATTGCCTTCAGAATTTGTAATATACCCATCCCATAGTCAAATATAGATTGTTTATATGATTTGTGCAGGACTTATTTATTAATATTTTATTATAATTTTCAGTAGACCACAATATGTAATTCTAGGAATCACACAGGCTACACCTATTTTTGCAAACATGGACAAACCGGGCGTCCGAAGGGCTCAGTAAACTTACAAAAGGGCCACAAGGTGTCTCCACAATGATTAAAAAACAATAATAATAAAAACAAATACATATATAAATTAAAATGTTGAACAGAAAATCAGCATACTAATGCAACATGCAATGTACAGTAAAATGCATATTTTTCCATTCTGTGGAGAAGAAAATTCTGAAACTTAACATGCACCTATAGGATCTCACTCTCACTATAGATCTCACTACACACTTGTGTGAGTGTGTGTGTATTATACATAGGCTATATATGGTCAATAGTTTAGAACAATTTCTTTCTTTTTTTATGTTTTAGAAAAAGTTTACTTTACTCGCCAAGCAAAAAAATATGCTCAATTATTGATTTTGAGGCTGCATATATTTTTGATAAAATAAATGCAGCCTCAAAACCAACAACTAAACAGCAAATCAGGACATCAGAATGGTTTCTGAAGGATCATGTGACACTGAAGACTGGAGTAATGAAGTTGAAAATTCTGCTTCGTCAACACAGGAATAAATTACATTTTAAAATATATTATTTTGTTATTTAACAGTTATTTTGAATTGTAATAATATTTCAACTTTTTACTGATTTACTAGTATTTTTGATTAAATAAATGCGTAAGACACCTCTTTTAAATTTATTTTAAAAAATCGAAATTATTCCACACTTATACAGGTGTGAATTAAATGAATGAACATTTAATGTGTATATAGACATATTGTCATCACACATCAAACTCCCATAATTCACACTTTGATTCTAAACTAAAAAATAACTAGATACAACAAGAATATACTTCCAATGTGTATTTAAATGTCATATTCCCTCCACATGTCAACACCTTAATATCTTTATTTTTGTTGAATATGGCATAACAAGAAATGATATGTATTAAATGTGTTTGTGTGTGTGAATTTAAGTGTTACAATAAGATGAATTAGCAATTAAAAGGTATATTTCTGAATGGAAATAACATGCATTTAATAAATTACATACTTTATTCAACTCATTTAGACCATTCTGTCAAAGCTGCATGTGTTTGAGAGACAGGTACGAATATCACTCAAATTGTTTGGAAAAGGATACAAGCTGAGTCACAATTCATTTTAAATGTGAGTGGCAGGTGGAACAAAGGCCGATACAATCCAGTGAATCTGTGTGTGTGTGTGTGTGTGTGTGTTGCTCCCATGCAGTGAATTAACTAATTTTAACAGATACATTTGATTTTAAAAATGTATTATTAAATAGTGAAATCAACTAAGACTAATACACATTAGAAGTATTGTTCATGTTAACTTATGTTAACAAATGAAACCTCAAAATGTTACCATTGTGTCTCTCTATCATAAGAAACTGATAGGTTTGCCCTAGAAAACTCAGCCTACAAGAACAGTTGTGACAAATGTTTATTTGCAGTAAATGCCTTATTGTAACTCAGAAAGCCTCTTTATCTGGCCTATTTTACCTGACCACCCAAATGATCTGACTTATTTGTGTTAGGATTAAAAAAGAAGAGACTGCAAGCAAGGCTGTTTGAACAACATTTAGTAAATAATTTGGAGAAATATTTGAGCAACAACACTTAAAATAGCATATTTAACCTCTTATTCCATTATATATTCTGATGTGTGCATGTACATATCCATATATAAACAAAACATTATTAAAATATTTTTTAACAATTATGGCTTTTCCAAATTTGTGAAACTAAGCATTGTATCAGGGGCTCCTAATGGGTCACTGTTTGTAATTTACATAACAAACTGGATGGTTTTAAGTGAAACACACGGTAAACCATTAAAATATCATGGTGGCAGTTCACAGCAAACGTGTTACAGAATGAGCTTGAAGGGAATTACTGAACCTAAACTTTCCTTAGATACTGTGTGAACCCCAGCCAGTTCCCACAATAGAGCCTCATCAGTGCATGCTGGGATTTAGTAAACTCTTTTAACAGCATTTAAACACACACAAAAAAAACAAAAACAAAAAACAACCTTAAACATAAGATGATAATGTACATGTTAAGAATTTACATTTTCAAATTTGTCCCTTTGTTCAAAACAATTCGGATTTCCATTATCAAACTTTCTTGCCACATCACTCATCCATTTGCACAGAAATTTAAATAGAAAATGAATCAGAAAAATAAAAAAAAATCTCATGTTATTTACAAATAATCACAAATAACCCAATTTATAAAACAAAACACACATATTTAAGCCTTTTTTTAAATAATAAGTATGATCACAATCTAAAAAATGTTTTGCATAGTGCTATAAAAAAAAACTACCATGGAGGTTGTACCGTATTTATGTGCACAAAACGTGCATACAAGGAATGACTTTCATAAAGAGATGCTAGTAATGAGAATGTAGCCTGTTTCCATAAGGGGCGGTCACGTTAGCGAAATTTCGGGGGCAAAAAAGCTCCATTGTCCATTGTCAATAGTGTAGCAATGCATGAAGTCCCGCTCACACACAGTCACTTTCAAAAAAGCAGCTTTTCTGTGACCAACTTGAACACAAACAAAATATTCCTTCCTTACACGAAACTCCCGTTAGCGCGAATTCCTATTGAAATGACTGGATTTCACCCGCGAAATTTTGCTGAGCAATGGTAAATGTGACCACACCTTTACAGCATAATTCATGAGGCAGAAAGGTCTTATGTGAATGTTAGTGAAGAAGACAAGGCGTTTGACAGTTTCTCTCAAAGATTGGCTTGTGAGTTTTTCACATTTTTGATCTCCAATTCCAACTGTTTCATCCGCACATCCTTCTGGTTAAGAAGCTCCCTCAACCTTCGGATCTCTTCCTGCTGCTTATAAAACATTTGTCGGAGCTATATGCAGAAACACATACATAAACACACATTAGAGGAAAGTATGAAAACACTTCTGAGGTGAGCAGCCCCTTAGTAAAGTGTCTGACAGGTCACTGCAATGCTATACATGTACCATACCTCGTTCTCTGTTTTTGGTGGCGAGCAGTGCGTGGAATCTAGTTGTCCGTTGCTGACAAAGGTTGTAGAGCTGCTGTTTTCATCTGTGGATGGGAGCAGCAAGGTAGGGTGGGATTCTTTGCGATCGTTCTCTTTGGCATCCAGACGTTCATGAATCCGCTGTGACAGCCCTGGCCGACTGCGAGAATGGCGTGTCTCCGTCGAGTCAGTTGGGCCTTTACTCAAGCCCACCTCCACATGTGAGTCCAGTTTACTTCCAGGCCTCAGAGACATCATCAAGGGACCTGCAGAGTAAAAAGCAAGTATAATTGAGGCACAGTCTCAGATTTATTCAGATTTAATCACCCAAAAAACTCTGCTGTTTCATAATTCATTTCTATAACATCATATGTAGCAATACTGCAAGCACTACCAACAGCGGCGGCGCCAGGGGGGGTCTTGGGGGGTCTCAAGACCCTCCCAAAAAATGCTTTGACCCCCCATTTGACCCCCCACCCCCTTCCTGATTAAAAAATATATATAACCGGGATAAATATTTAAAAATGTTTATCTTCAAACTACGCAGAACAATAATAATTAATAATTTATTCGACATACAAAATATATAAACATAGTTCCCTCTAAGCTGCGCGCGTGCGCGGTCGTGCACTTCTGATGCCGCGGCCGCGCAGAAAAGAATAATATGCCACGCAGAGGACTGACGCGAAATGTGTGGGGAAATCCATTTGATTGTATGTGAGAAATAATTGCAGTGCTCAAACTGGTGAGTCCAGTTAACAGGTTTCAAAGAAAGAGAATGATGTGAGCGCGTGTGATTGGCAGTGAGTCGTGTGTGCGGACCAAATATCTCAATACGAGAGGCGACGAGAAACGCAAAGACATGTGAAATAAAATCACAATATCATGTTTTAAAGAAGAGTGTTTTGATTAAAGTGGTGGAAATAACGGATGATGGACACAGAACGGTAACAATTACACACACCCACCCGCGTGCAAACTCAAAATACATCATTAGTTTACATAGATTTAAATAGTTTCAGGCATGGTTAGATTAGGCTACTATAAAAGAGTTCACATATTCACTTTTCTTGAAAATATTTAGCTATTAGATCTAGCTATTTACAGTAAATGCTTCAGTTTGTTTTCATATTATAATAATATAATATGAAAACAAATTGAAGCATTTAAACTGATATATTATATCACTTCAAATACTTCAATTCATTTTTTTATATTATATTAGGCCTATATTTTATTATATTATAAGCCTAAATAAAGAATCTCACAAGAGTATTGTTTAGGGCTCATTGCCATTAAAAAGTTTGAAACCCCCTGCTAAAGAAAATATAGGCTAGGAAATTCATAAGCTATAAACAATCATTTAACTTTGATGGTTTAATGCTGCCTGTACAATTAATTGACTGTACAAAAACACTTTATGGTTTTCCTAAACCATCTCAGTGTAACAGCTTAATTTTCTTTCAGAATATATTATATTATTGTAAAGAATTGAACTGTCCTGCAGAAGATTTTGTAAATAATTTTTCATAGGATTTCTTAAAGACTGGAAACAGAGGACACTGAGGAATTGGAGGATGAGGAGGATACTATTTTGTAAATATGTTTCCTGTCATGGGTGTGGCTATGGCAATTAAAGTTCGAGCATATTGTTTGCAAACTGCAATTGATTAATTAATTAAAAACAAAGTAGTTGATATGCTATGTTGTTTTTGTTGTTAAGTAGCAGCAATATGCAGTTATTAGCCGTGTCCAGTGTATTTTTTGTTGGTTTTCATGAGACCCCCCTTGAAATGACCAGGTCCCCCCATTGCCCCCCCAATCAAAATTGTCTGGAGCCGCCACTGACTACCAACAAAGATATAGAAGAACAAGAGGCGAAACTCTGATGCTTTTTTGGTAACAGCCACTAGGTGGCGCTTCGGTAGCGCGGCCGCCATTTTGGGGTGAAAATTCCAACTGGAGTTACTGGACAACAGCACAGATAACAGTTTGTTGAGGTAGTTTTTTCTTGCATTAGTGAGTATTTCCATTGTATGCAACTTTACACATTTACTACTATTATTAGTTACCAACTCCACTAGGCCTGAAATATATTTTGTAGCCTACGTTTTAATCCCCTGGATCATGCTACAAACATTATGATCTTATAGAACATGATGCATTGCTGTGTCCGTTATCCTATAACCTTAATTGCCACTTTGGACAGTGGCTGTGTTTTTTCGTTTACATAGTCTTGCTTTAACGGTCATTAATATAAGATAGTACTGAAAAAAATAAACAGTTTACTGTAAAGCTATTCTATTGCTGTTATATATTTATTGTCCAACATTTACATTTTAGTACAATTACATTTATTTGCTGAATTCATTTATTTCATTGATAACTTATTTTTGTAACGTTATGTCTACCTCCTGGAAATGGTCTAACGTTATTATAACTTTATGAACTGATATCACTTTATTGTTACACTTAATGTGGAGACTAATATAATTAATTAAATCCTTGAACTTCCCTGTCTCAAGTTATGTGGGGGGAAAAGCCTGGTTAAGTAGCAACTTCTTTTTAACTGCTATAACGTTAACTGTTGTGAGTTAAAATAATCACCTAATTATTTCAACCTAAAAATTACCTATGCACTGGACTAAATATATGTATAATATATGACTGCCGAGTTGCTTTCACCCCAAAATGGCGGACGCGTAGGGCTGCTGCTGGGCGCTGGTGTTGCAATGGAACGTTCTATATTGGCTTTCACTTCTTGTCAATATATGTTCTTTGCTACCAATCCAAGTTTAAAAAAAAAAAAACTTTTATTCAGCAAGGATGCATTCAATTGATCAAAAGTGACAGTGACACACTTTTCAATGGTAGTGTATTGTTTGGTGTCCTGTCTTATATACTATCTCTTTAATATCCCTTGTTCCCAGCATAAAACTGGCCGAACGTGCTAAGTGGCTATTTTAGTCTTTTGAAGGGCAAGAGACTAAAATGGCCACTTAGCAAGTTGAGCCACTTTTATGCTTTTTATGGTGCTTTTATGGTTCATTTATGAAGCAATAAAATCAACATGGAATGGAATGGAAAAAAGCAGCTTAAACGTTCTACAAAATTTCTACTTTTTTGGTTTCACAGAAGAAAGAAGGTTGGTTTGAGGGTAAGAAAATGATGACAGAAAATTCCTTTTAAAGACTCTCTGACCTTTGTCTAGACCACTGATCCACTCATCTGCTGTCATGGCGGGCTTGTTCCCAGCTGTCATGGGGTAAATGTCCTCTTGATAGGACTCTGACTGCAGAACAGATCACAAACACATCTCTTGAAGTCACTTAGGGATAGTTAGGGATCAAGGACAGCACAGATATGAGAGAACTAGCTCTACTTTATGTTATATGGATTTGTATGGATGTGTGAACAGGATTATACCCTTCGTGGAACAATCATGGATAGAGGTTCTATGAGACTTTTGATTGTCACTAGTTTGTAGAATCTGAAGACTTCACAGGAACACACATCAAGCCCTCTCTTTGGCATGACACCTGAAAGAGAACACATGTTCCAAATGAGTAAAAAATGTGAATGTCAAGTCACCTTCATTTATATAGCGCTTTTAACAATATAGATTGTTTCAAAGCAGCTTTACAGCGATAATAGGAAATTCAAGTAACAAAGATTGTTTTGGCTTTACAGCAGCTCTAGAATAAAGTTATTGTCCAGCTAAAGTCAGTTTTGATTGATTCACAATGCAGAACACCCCCCCCCCCAACAAACACACACAAACAGACAGACACTTTTTTATACTGAATCGAAATCAGCATTTTCAAAAAAAAAATCTTCAAGGTTTTACTTTTTTGTTTTTTTCCCCCTGCTGTCCACCTTACTAACTTGAATTATTACAAAATCTGACACTTCAATAAATGCTCAAAATTAAAACTAAAATGCTAAAACTTTACCAAAAATGGATTTTATAATGTCTAAATATGTACCTGAATGCAAACTGAAGAAAAAAACCTTTACTTTAGGACCTGCAGGGGAACAGTTTATTCGCTCCATATAGAGCTATAAGGCCCTCTAGTGGCAAGAGTCATGAAATATCATGTTATGTTATTTTTCCCCCCACAAGAGATCGGTAGAGACACTCAATGTGAGACTTTTTGACATCAGTTTTTGCATGTCATGGAATTATTTTGTATTTAAGTTGGAAGAATGTGCTTAAATTATATTATTAAATTAAATGACTAATCTAGCCATTTAGAGGTAAATAAAAAATAAAAATGTAAAAAAAAATGTAAAGTATTATCAAAATGAAATGACATAAGCTTTCTGGACAAAAAAGGGACAATATTTAATTTTAGGGCTTCGGGTAATTTTGATCAATAGAACGATTCATTCAAGAATCGGTTATCACTAGCAATTATTTCCTCTTCTCCTCTTGATTGCCTGCCCAGCGTGACATGAATGCACTGACGTACTGAAGTATTTATGGTAAACTAAATATATACTTCAATGTCACTTCTGTTGAAACGTGTAAGTCATGTATTTAAATACATTTGTATTTTTTATTGTGTTAAGAAACATAGTCATGCAAGTGAACTCTTTAAGTACAATTAACTGGCCTTTTATTTCATTAATGTGCAAGTAGGCCTACAGTTGTTTTTTTTAAATAACTGTATTAGAATAAAATAGCAAACCAAGTGGCATCTGCAAACAAATGATGCTAGAGCTATTCTCAGAATTATCTTTTAGATGTAAACTTATCAGAACGAACATTAATTTTTTTCAGAGTAAGAATTTTTTTTGTGCTTAAAAAATGTGCTTATGCCTTTACTTTAATGTAATATTTTGTTTTCTAATGCAGTTCTTTAGAAAACATTGATACATTTAAGTGTTCGCATACTTTTTGGAGAATCTCTAAACATGTTAAATTATGAAGTCTGTTCAGTTGAGACAGGCATGTTACAGTATGTGATACAGATGAAGCGGAACATTCTTTAACCAATCTATATTTATGTACAAGCGCTATGTTAAGTGCTTTTCAGACACCTAAAGCATTTAAAGTATTTACTTACCCAACCTGATTAGTGACATAAATTGCAAAAAAACTTCTTAAGTAGCATTAGCAAGGATGAGCCAGCTTTTAAACCATCTATACTATTCAAATGATGTTACTGCTGTTTTGACTAGTGCAAGAGATGGAGTTGGAATTGGGAAATAGATTTATAATGAATTGTTTTCATAAGTCTGTGTTTGTGCACATGTAGGCTTTGCATGTATATTACTCACCCATTCCCTTCTGAGGTAGAAGAGATCGGTATTCCGTCAAATAGTGCACATATGGCTTCTCTGGGCTGATTTCATAGTATCTGATATTTCCATCACCCTAAAGATTGAAGGAGGATTGTGTTATCCATTAATAACCTTTATCATCAATACAGCACATAAAACACTAGTTGCCAATCTGGTAGTCCAGGTTATATGTACTCACTTTTCCAGCAATGTAAAGCATGTGTGTGTCAGGGTCATAAAAAGGGAAGAGGACACCGGAGGAGCCGTCCAAGTCCTCTGAATAAGACGGCTGAGAGAGGTCCTCCTGCAGAACACATGCATGTAAGTTTAGGACTCAACACATCGAATCTAAACAGTACTGGTTTCTTTAAACCAAATCCCTGAATCAAAAATACCCATATAAAGGTATTACACATACAAAAAGTAGAACTGTATCTGCATTAGATCCATATTTAACTCATCCCACAGGAAAGTATTGTAATGATTGTGATGGCATGATTGTGACACTAGGGGGAAATCTAAAGTGAGTCATGGACTGTTGAGGATGGACCTGTCAAACTGGAGCTAGTATATAGGCTAGATGATCGGTCCATTCCAACCAGAGTCAGATTTAACCCATTAAAAACACCACCGGAAGTGAGGAAAAATGTCCCACATATTTAAAATGTGAATTCCCCCTTAGTGAATTCCTCTGTTTTTGGAATGAAAAGTTAATCTCAAATACTCTAGTGCCACTAACAATTAAACAAGGCCTAAATTGATCAAACATGACAGTAAAACATGACAGTAAAACACATTTGTACATCATTACAAAGAACATATTTTTCAAATAAATGCTGTTCTTTTGACCTGTTCTATTCATCGAAGAACCCTAAAAAAAACAATATTTTATATTATTTATGATTTTACTGTATTTTTGAACAAATAAATGCAGCCTGGGTGAGCATAAGAGACTTTCCTTATGCTCAGTTTATTGCACCCATAGGTTTCAGCTAAATCTTCTGCCATTTAGAATTTTGTTGAAAGTGTACTTTTTCAAACTTGTCTTACATCTATTTTTGTGAACATAGATTGTTTATATAAATATTTCAGTTTATCTCTATCAATGTACTATTGGATGTCACATTTGTTATTTTGTTTTAGAAAGTAATTAAAAAAACAAATGATTAGTTTTGCCTTGTGGGACTTAGTTATCAATAAATAGTTATCCGTTATCAATAAATCATTTAATTTTAATTTCAGAAGTTTTTATTAGTAATAAAAAAGCACTGCCTATGGCAAAACAATTCTGCATTTGCATTACCATTGGTTTGCATGGCCCAGTAATTACTGCTGGATATATATTTTTAGCTGTTACCTAAAATTTGATATATTTCATTATATTCCATTCTAGGCCTTGTATGTGTGTAGGTAAGTGGAAACTCTTTTAATGAAAATAAACTGAAACAAAAATAGCACTAAAGACTGAACATGAACAGTGATTACATGGAAATGTACTGTGACAGTAACAGCAGAAAGTATCATTTTTTATAATCAAATGCAATTTAGAAGAGCATTTTTGTGTAATGATATCTTGAGCATTATTTTAAGCTACTTTTGTATTTGATTTTATAGGTAACATTGTAGCCATAATTGCTCTGATCGAGAATTTCTTTCAATTAACGAATGACAAATTTGCCATAAAAAGAAGACATGCAGTGTGTTTTTATACAAATATGAAAATGGGAATAATTAAGGAGTCTATTTTTAGCAGGCCTTACCTGATCCCAAAGTACAATCTGACGATGGTTCCAGCGTGAATTGCCCGTAGAGAGAAGCATTTTCAGGTTTCCAAGAAATAGCACTTTACTGGCTCTGTGTAACTTGCAGTTAGTCTCCTAAAATCACACATTACACATGACATTTCAAAATAAATGCACATTCCCTTTCTCTTTCTTTTACAAAAAAATATATTGGAAAAAAAAAAAAACCTTAACAAAACTTTAACACATTTTAATCATCACAAAATTCAATCAACCATGTCCTGTAAAATGAAATAAAGCGTGAATTGAGTCTCGTGTTCGTCCGAGTCACTTGAGGAGACATGACAGTGTGAATGTAAGACTCTGGGCTGATGCTGACCTCTGGGTAACAGATCAACCAGGCAAAGGTGCTAGTTTTGGATGTGTGGTGTCAGAGGGGCAGACGAGGGGAAGTGCATTTCTGTGCAAGTCCACATACTGTATGCTGTCTATGTCCCAGCTCATAATTAAAATTAAGTGAAGGAGTAAGTGATGGACTGGGTAAAGCTGTATTGGGGGAAAATGAAGTCAAAACTCACGATTGGTTCCACCTAATAATATGAGCATCAAAAACAGCATGTGCATGACAAATAGAGAGGAACATCAGACTCAAGGCCACACACACACCTGTAAAAGGGTGCCAGTGCGCGGGTCAATCACTCGGATCTTCTTATCCTTGCAAGAGGTGGCGAGTCTGCTGCCATCTGTGTTGAAGGACATGGACAGAACCACATCTGAATGCACACTGATGGACCGCACAGGGTTCTTGATCACCTGTTCAGGAACGTCCAACCTCCACATCATAACCTAAACATGAACACAAATAAACATTTAAAGTCAATTAAGTTGGACCTACTGACATTTAATACACTACCGTTCAAAAGTCAGTATGATTCTTTCGAAATTGTATTCATCAAGGATGCATTTAATTGATCAAAAGTGACAGAAAAGACATAAAAGATTTCTACTTCAAATAAATGCTGTTCTTTTGAACTTTCTATTCATCAAAGAATCCTTTAAAACATGCATCATGGTTTCCACAAAGATTTTAAGCAGCACAACTGTTTTCAACATTGATAATAATAAGAAATAGTTTTTTGAGCACCAAATCAGCATTTTAGAAGGATTTCTGAATGATCATGTGACACTGAAGACTGGAGTAATGATTCTGAAATTTAGCTTATCGATCACAGGAGTATATATTATATTTTAAAATATATTAAAATAGAAAAAGATATTTTATAAATGAATGCAGTCTCTGTGAACATAAGACACTTCTTTTCAAAAAACATTACAAATTACACCGACTTTTGAAACTTTTGTTAGTGTACCATAACTGTAACAACATTTCAATTGTATTTTTAATTTTTTTTTTAAATAATTTCTCCACACAATTATTTTATTTAGATCTCATCCATTAAAATCTGATAAACACTGGGGGAGAACATTTCAGTCAGTGGGAGCCAATTTTAAACGCACAACACACTCTCTACAGTTAAGAATCTAACAGTTACTTTAAGGAAGCGTTGCAAGGAATGTGAGGTACTGTGTGAGAGCCTATGCATTGTGAAGATTGTTGCTCTACTACACACCTTCACTGCCTCGGGACAGCACAAAAACAACCCAAACAGAAAAAAATGAGGACAGGGCAGAAGAACATGGAAAATAAGATCTTAAAAAGAGTGATGGTTAAAGCCACTTTTGTTCATGGGGGTTGGGGTGAGGGGGATGGGTACAAATGGAGGGGGAATTCGCAAATGCACAGTGTCAATATAATTGTACTTAGACAGGAAATCACAATCAGAAACAATGTATCAGACTGGCTATGAGCATTCAAGAAATGTAATGAGGAATAAAAACAATCCAGACACAAAGACACAGGCAGCTTCAGGCTTTTAGAAGCTCAAAACGGAATCAAATTACATTTTCAATATTTGTCTACACCAGGGTTTGGCAACCTTTTTGGTTATTCTGATTATCAGATCAATCAGAATACTTTTAACAGGGGGCTGTAAAAGGGGCATCAATATCTGACTGTGATAGATGTGATGCGTACATTACATATTATGAGGCACATTATCAGGCTGAGTTTAGGCTTTTTATGCAGAAAAATTGGGGCTATCTTTTCAAAGTTCTTAGAAAGTTTGGATTTGACTACAATGTTTTAACTGTTATTACATGTTTATAAAATAAGCCACAAGCAAACCTGGGAGATTGAATTGAATTGAATAAATCAGATCACAGAACTGCTTCACTGCTGCTATACTATATATCATCATTTTAGGAACGCTGCTCGTCCAACTAATAGCTTTATAATTATTTATTTAGGAGACCCCTAAGCCTCTCTTCCAATGTTATCAAGGTCACTGCAGACTTTTGGGTCTCTTTCAGGTTATAAATTATATATACCAAAAACTCAGCTGCTGGTTTACTATTATAACATTTAATTCATACAATACATCGAATAGAATATAAAGACTATAAGACCCTGATATTCCAAATATTGCAACTTTTACCCCAAAATATAATGTCATATCCCTCTTTTTGTTTAGTTTATGTTTTAGTTATGTATTTATGCTTTATCATCTGCTCTGTTGTTGCACTTATGGAAAGATATTTTAAATGACCTTTATCTTTTCCTTCCTTTTTAAAACATATTTAAGTAAATAACTACACTAATTTATCCACAAAAATAATTAAAATATTTTATTTATTTCATTCACACATTCAAAGAATACAATTATTTTGGCCTTGGAACTGGAAGGGAAGTGTTTAAGATTAAAAGATGGGAAACTGCTTGCAAGCATCAAATATGGTAACACGTGTGATGATGTGTGCTAATAAGAGCTTCCTATCACTGTGAATATTTTAAATGTCTTCCTGAGGGGGAAATTCACTGAAATCTCGTCTCTCTTCATTCCATGACAAACTGTATGTATAGTTTAATTACCTGGTAGTCATAGCCGGTACTGAAAATGATGTTGTTGGCAGTTGGATGCCACTCGATGAGGCCGACTCGTCGTGAATGGCCCTGAAGCTCCTTCCAAGGCACTGTGATGTTCTTCAGAACACCATGTTCAGGAATATCCCAAATCTTTACCTTAACAACAAACATGTGCACACATGATAAGCTGTAAAAATGTGAACACGTGATCCGTTTTCGTGAGTAAACCGTGAACATGCACCAGTCTGAACACTTACTGTGGCGTCCTCTGAACAAGATGCTATGCAGAAGTCATCAAAGGGATTCCATTTGATGTCAAGTACATTGCCTCTATGACCAGAAACCTTTGGGTGATGAGGGTCAACCTTGCCAGTCTGAGAAGGCACAAAGATACAGCGTTATTTATGCATATACACATAAACACACAACCATGGAGTCAAGGTTTTTGGGATGTTTAGCATGGACCTGTTATGTACACTATACTGTTCAAAAGTTTGGGGTCCGTAAGATTTGTTTAAAAGAAATGAATACTTTTAATCAGCAAGGCGACATTAAATTGATCCAAAAATGATAATGTTAATTGTAAAGACAATGTTAATGTTGTGTTTCATATATAAGCTGTTCTTTTGATATTTTAATTTGTCAAAGAATCCTGCATAATCTATCACTATTTCCACAATTATACTAGGTAACATGTATGTTCAGTTTTGGTTTCGTTTCACTGTGTTCTGTTCCTGTTGTGCCTGTCTTGAGTTCCTAGTTAGGTTCCTTGAATGCTAATTAGTCCCTCACACTCGTTTTTCTGTTCAGTTTGATTACCCTATGTATTTATGCCCTGTGTTTCCTTCATTTCCTTGTCTGGTATCGTCTAAGAAGTTAAATGTGGTTGTGTTCATTATACTCCAGCGATGTCCTGAGTTTTAGTTTGTGGATTAAATAAAACTGTTTTTGTTTGGACTTTATTACATCCACTACGTGACACTAAGCAGTACTTTCATTTGCATTTCAAACATTCATAATAATGAGAAATGTTTCTTGAGCACCAACTACTCAACATATTAGAATGATTTCTGAAGGATCATGGGACACTGAAGACTGGAGTAATAATGCTGAAAAGTCAACTTTATACCATCACTGGAATAAATTACACTTTAAAGGGTTAGTTCACCCCAAAATGATAATTCTGTCAGTAATCACTTACCCTCATGTTGTTCCAACCCCGTAAGACTTTCGTTCATCTTCGGAACACAAATTAAGATATTTATGATTAAATCTGAGAGCTGGATCACTCCTCCATAGGCTTCTTAAGGGATCGAAACTGGCCGGCCCAGAAAAGTTTAAGACATCGTTAAAATAGTCCAAGTGACTACAGTGGCTCAATCTTAAGTTTATCAAGCAACGATAATACTTTTTGTGCGCAAAAATCAAACAAAAATAACGACTTTATTCAACTATTCATTTCCTTCTCTGTGGGCCGTGAGATTTCACGTAGTGTAACTGCGCAACGTTCTAGGTTGTACGTCACACGCGTCACACACATGACCAGCGTCGGCCAATAGTGAGTCTACGTGTGACGTGCAACACAGAACCGTTGCACAGTTACACTACGTGAAATCTCGAGGCCAACAGAGAAGGAAATGAATAGTTGAATAAAGTCATTATTTTTGTTTGTTTTTTTGCACACAAAAAGTATTATCGTCGCTTGATAAACTTAAGATTGAGCCACTGTAGTCACTCGGACTATTTTAACGATGTCTTTAATAACCTTTCTGGGCCGGCCAGTTTCGATCCCTTAAGAAGCCTATGGAGGAGTGATCCAGCTCTCAGATTTAATCATAAATATCTTAATTTGTGTTCCGAAGATGAACGAAAGTATTACGGGGTTGGAACAACATGAGGGTGAGTAATTACTGACAAAATTTTCATTTTGGGGTGAACTATCCCTTTAAAATATATTAAAATAGAAAATGGTTTTAAATTTTAATAATACTTCACAATATTACTATTTTTACTGTATTTTTAACCAAATAAATTCAGCCTTGGTGAGCAGGAGAGACTTCTTTCAAAAACATAAAAATTCATACTGACCCCAAACTTATATAGTGTATCTTGAATACAACAAATGTATTTGGTCTTGTTTAGCTTGTTTTAAGGATACATCTCAATAAAGTTGTGTTCAAACAACTGAAGTGAGTACTTATATTCAATTATACATTAAACATTCTCCAAAAACAAGTCTATATATGCAATGTTGCTTTTCAATTCCATTTTTTATGGATATTTAGATATTTGACCTGAAAACAACATACCGATACTAGAATAGAATTTGTTTCCAGCGTAGTACACAAAAGTTGTTACCAAGAATCACAGCACAGAAATGTGTTCCAAAAGATACAAGTCTCAACAAAGAGAAAATCCTTCAGTAGTCAAAAAACAAGTACGTAATGCAAATGACTCAGCTAACAAGTGACGAAACTTGACTTTATCATTATTCATATCTAAACTGACAACTGTGTTGATTCTGGGCAAAGACGCTAAAATGTTGAAATGTTCAAACCTGCATTAACTTGAAATGTGCGATCAGACCATTTTATATGTTGTTTCCTAAAGCACATTGTATTGAATACTTAAATTAACATTAAATGAATACTAGTTTTTAGTCAACCTATGGTGTTGGGGGGCGGGGAAGGAGAGACAGACAATACAGAAAGATGCCTCCAGGCTTTCATGTAACCTGTGCCATTCCTGAGACATGAGATAATACCTGACTAAACATGAGACAGTCAACAGACCAATAAAATGACACAGTCTAAAGTGTGTCAGAACAGGTAAGCATGCATGAGTGTGTCTGTGTGTGTGTTTGTGTGTGTAAAGAGAGACAGAATGTAAAATATCAGAAGCAAATAAATATGCAGGTAAAAAAGGTCTTTGGTTGCCTCGAAGAAAGAGTGAAGACACCAACTTCTGTAACTCGCCAGGTTGTCCTTAAAAGAATGTTACACTAGTTTAAAGAGTATTAAGTGTGCTAGTCACAGATATGAGCATGTTTCACTCACGTGATGGATGGACAGCACCAGGAATGATCCGCCCCCCGCACATTCGGTGATGACTGCGATAAAGTGAGGGTTGGCGGCACAGAGGTGGTTGTCGTGAACACTCCGGGTGATGGGGACGCCATCGTAGCAATTCTCTTTTGTGGCCGGCTTCCCAAACACGTGGCGATACTTGGAACTACGGTACTGAGGACGCCATGACATCTAGAGTGAAACAGAAGAATTAGTGAAATTTAACATTTAACATTTCTGCCAATGCCACAAGGTTTGGAAAAGACATAAACAGGGAGAGAGAAAAAAATCATAATAATTTTTATCCTTAAAAACATCTAAAAAGAGGCTCCCATGAAGACTGAATGTTTAGAAGGGTCATTTTTATCTGTGTAAGTCTAATATTTGATGAAAATTAGAACCATAAATGCATAACAGAGAATGTGTAAGAACACCTCATTAAATACTATGATATGAGTCACTAACAGAACACAAACATAAAAGTTAGCAGGGCTGAAACAATTGAAGATTGATAACTGAAATAATACAAATTTCGATTAGTTATTTCAGTCACTGTAGTGTTTGAACAGAAATGCACTTTCTTGGGAAAACAAAGGCTAAAGGGCAACAGAAAAAGAAAAAAAAACGTATATAAGCCAAGTTGTCCAAAGCACTGAAAAACTTTGACAAAAATAATGTATGTCAGTTTTCAGTGGTTAAGATCCTGTGTCAGGTGCTTTGATACTGTTTAATGTGCTTGGGAGCATTTCTCATCAGTTCATAAGAAATATTTTACTGAGATATTCTAATCGGTAAATCAGGAATAGGCTGGTTAGCATCACCCAATAAGACCCTGCTGTGCTGATAGATGCTGTAACTACACCATTATGATGGCAAAAAGTTAATTTGTTATGTTGGCAAGTAACATTTCTTATTATTTTGTCCTGCTTAATATTTTGGTGGAAACCGTGGTACTTTTCCCCCCCATGATTCTTTGATGAACAAAACAACAGCATTTATTTGAAATAAAAATCTTACTTACCCCAAACTCTTGAATGGTAGTGTAAGTATAATTTAAATAAAATATATATTATATATAGCTACCCAGAAATATTTCCATGTGGGCCTAGTTATCATCCACCTCTGCAGGAAACAATGAAGAAAACCCCACTAGACAAGTTCTTCTGACAGAAACAATTTCACAAACAAAATGCCTATCAGAGACATCAGCAACAACCCAGATGGCTGTGTAGATTAATACATTTTGAAAACAATATGACAGGTTTTGCTGATGAATGATAAAGTTCTCCCATACTAGATATACAAGCAAGATAAAACTGCACTCTATTCAGAAGAAAATCTGCTGTTTCAAGAACTGGATTTACATATCTGATTTGTGTGATGGCTGACTATTGTGAGTCTCCCTGACTAGAACTGCAACAAGTAAAAATGTACAGGTGATTTCACAATTAACTACTGTACGCCAAAACAAGCGCACATATTTTCACACAAACCTGAGATTAACATATGAAGCTTCCCTTTAAATGCAATACATCCTGGAGAAAAGGTTTATCTGGGCAATACAAGCCAAGGTGGAAAAATAGTTGCATCTTAAGTATATTCTCATTGATTTATTAGAGACAGCCTCGAAAATGAATCCACTGAATTGTACTCTCAATATAAACACAACCATACAAAAATATATTGAAATCAAGTTGAGAACATAAAGTATTGCAACACTGTTAAATATATGAGCAAATCCTTCTATGGCAGGATTTGTATATGTTTGAGTTGTTCAGCTTTCAAAGGCTGGTGTAATGATTAACGAAATTATGGATTAGCGATGTGGGTGTGGTAACAGATATAAAAAGCTCTGGCTATACATTTAAAGCACAATTAATAAAATAACTGAAACATTAAGGGTAGATGTCATCCAGATAGAAGGAACGTGGCATTTGGTGAATGTATATTCTTTCTTTTTCTTAGGTGAAGTATATTCTTTCTTTTTCTTTCGTGTGTAGCTAATTGCCACATTTAGTGAGAAAAAGAGACATTGGGTGTCTTTTAGTCAATTATATCGGTAACACTTAACAATAAGCTTCATTTGTTAACATGAATGTATTAGCTAACATGAACTAACCATGAGCAATACATTTGTTACTGTATTTGTTAATCTTATTAGTTACTAAAAATACAGCTGTTCATTGTTTGTTCATGTTAGTTCACAGTGCATTAACTAATGTTAAAAAATACAACTCTTGATTTTAATCATGTATTAATAAATATGGAAATTAACATTAACAAAGATTAATAAATGCTGTAGAAGCACAGTTCATTATTAATTCATGTTAACTAATAAATAATATTAACTAATGTGTTACTATTATAGTGTTACAACCAAAAATGAGTTAAAATACAAATAAATAACGGTAGTGAGTATATCAATATCATAAATGCATATATATTATGCATTGTAATGTCCTTCATCTCTCCAAACCCCTCTGGACTGAAATGTACTAATATGGGTCAGTGAAGGCAAAATCATATTTTAAGTGTTTCAAAATTCCTTTCATTTTCAACTACTCACCCTGTCTGTGCTGAGCACACGAAGACCTGAGAGAAAGGAGAGATGAAGGTGCAGAAATAAAGGTGGAGAAAATTATCCGGGTTTGCCACTTCCACCGGAGGAGTTATAATTGCATTTCAGATCTCTTGTAAAGCATCGCAGAAAAAGAGAAGACGTCAAAGAAGGAAGAAAATCATCAACATAAGCACAGTCAAAGTTCTGCCCTGCAGCCTGAGTAAACATGGACAGAATGCCAGCAGCACGTCCAGTGTTTGCGAGCGGAGCAGGTAAGAGATCATGTGCGCACACTCCCTAAATGGGTGGCGCCTCACAGCAGAAAGCACAGGAGATGGGGAGGTGTGAAGGAAAGACGGGACAAATTCCTCACACTGATTTCCTGTACATTAATCACTTGGGCGATAAAGCAAAATGAATCACGTCTCAGTACTTTTATAATTAATAAAAAATATTGACAATTATGTATTTTCTTTGAAAGTGTTTTTTAAATTCAGATTTATTTAGTTATTTTAATTTACATGCACCAATATAACAAAATTTACTAACACACAGCTAAATGTATCAACATTTCCAATGAAACATTTACTTAATATGACAAAATGGACATCTGAGTGACACATGTATACACACATTAAGAGTTATGAATTGAAATGAGGGAAAAAAGGGAAACAGAAAGTGATTCAGGAAAATGAATCAAATATTTTGTGGATAGTTTAAATCAGAAAAGCGTCTTTTTCTTAACACTCTCTCATGCTTGTCAGTAGTGAGGCAGCTAGAAGGATTAAAATCACTGCAATATTCACAATTTTGCTCAATTTGGTGAGATTTTAATCAACTATTTATTTCCATGGATCTGTAGTGTGATCACTTTTTTCTACATTTACCTTTCTATTTTTGCTCAAAGACCTATAAATAGTTTCTCTATTCTTTGGTATGTGCATGCTTTTGTTTATTTATTTATTTCCAGCAGAATATAGGCTATTATGAGTATTTGACATATCACCCATTCTTTGTGGTATTTAAGTCTGAATCTGTCTGCTGTGTGACACATTTCAACTGAACAGAAACAAAAGCAAAAGCTGTTTCGCTGTTTGGTTGTACAAGAAGGATTGCTAATTTCATTATCATGTGTTATCTGAATACAGCAGAGGCAGAAATATGTTTATGCTTTGTAAATAACAAGTAAGGTCAAACAAATACACAGAGAATGAGGACTGGAGTTGTAAAAGTGGTAGAGTTACTGGATGCAACTCAATATGAGGAGTGTAAACACACGCACGGGGACAGAGTCCAGTCCACAGGTCAGGTTTAGTCTGAAAGAGCAGACGGAAGTTTGAGCAGTATCACTTCTATCAAATGAGTTCAAGTTTCACCTGAAAGGTGAGTTAGCACAGTGATGGAGGTGGAACTGAACACCTACAAGGCACAGGTCCTGTGCCACAGGATGATAGAAATCGTTGAAAAACCTGCTAACTGCGTCGTTTTGCTGTCTTGCTGCAGGCGAATGTCGATCACACAAAAAAAGAAGTGTTCACAAATACCATCAGCGATGAGTTCAGGCTCTGTTATACAAGCAATTATAGAGCAGCTTGACATGCATCTTCAAGAGCTGACTAATGTCCAGAGATTACAGACATTATGCTGATGACCAGCTACAGCACAGGAAAAGCTCGACGGGTGCAGATCTTTCAGAGCCGAAAAGGTATTTGAACTTGAATGGGGAGATCTGCATTTTGACAATACGACACTGGTTTCAGTTTCTGGGCCATTAAGACCTCACTAAATCCTAACTGTGTGGATGAGGCACTGACTTTAGTATTGTCTGGGAGTATCCAGGTCATTGACTGTTGTTATGTTAATGATCCTTAAAATGTTGATAAAGACTGTGTTTTGATATGATAAATGTCTGCTATGGGCTTTTCAAGAGGGTCCTGTCTTTACTCTTCACTCTTGCGAAGGAGGTATCTGAGTGAGTTTGATCTGGAATAAGGACATGAGAGTGTGTCCTGAATAAATCAACAGCTTTATTGCACCAACACAAGATCAGTATGTGTTAGTTATTAACAGTATTTGATAACTGAAACCCTCAAATCCAAAAGTGAGCTGCATTAAAAGCTTAACACAAAATGTTATACGTTTAATTTCTTTTTCTCAGCAGTAATAATATAAATACATTTAGAGGTGCTTATGAATGTATTAAGATTAAGATGCTACATAAACCAACATTGATCATTGGAAAAATAAAACATTTATGAAACATGAAATTGCAGTTGCTGAAGCAACAATGTCCTTTACGGCTTTCTGTTTTGCAAGTGAAACGCTGTTCCAGGTGAGCTCCCATGCAAGATTATGTGATGCAAATGTCAAATCTATTCTAATAAAAAATCATGCACTATGGTATTGTTGTTTTGAGGTCGCGGTATTGTGCAAGGAACCGTGCAAAATGAAGTCTTCATTAATTGATAATCTGCATGTTATCATAATTTGTTTGAAAAGGAATAAAAGTTTTTGCCGTTTTACAACTACTAGTGATCCTTTCAGCTGGAAACTGCAGCGAATTGTATAGGTGCGTTTTTTAAGTTTTGGAAAAATGTAGGTAGACTATGAGCATTTTTTCCAATGAGCCTATGGTTGCAGACCAAGTTAAGATAAAGAAAACAACAAAATTGAGACAAACAAAACAAAATTTCCAGCTAAGAACAAATTTGTATATGTTTTGAATATTCCCACCCCATACACTCTGTCTCCATGCGGTTTGCTTAGCAAATACTCAATCTCTATTTAGCACTACGAGGTGATCTATACCTATGGATTTGTGAAATCATTGGTTGATTTGGTGAAATCATTAAGGTGAGCAGCAGTTTGTCAATGTGTTAAGGAAAAATGCAAATGCATTGGCAATGTACTAAAGCTGAAGGAAAATGGCTCATTTTTACCAGCTCTTTTTTTTCTCTCACAAAAGTGGGAATGTTCAATTTGAATTTCAAAGCTTACATTTGAATTTCCCTCTCAAAAAAAAAAAAAAAAAACTAGCTGAGGCTCACCAAGCTGGTTTTGATAGAGAAATATATGGATAAAAACATCTCCAGCCCCCAGAGAAACAAAACAGGGTGATTTATTCGGCTATATTACACAACATGAATTGCAGTTGCTTGTTAAATCAAAACTGTGCATTAAAAATGCAAGTCTTGAGGCTTACAAACTAAATCTCACTCAATAATGAACCTTGTAATATGGGTGGAGAGTGAAATGTGCCACGTGGCTTTACTCTGTTAGCGGACTGATTCAAACAAACTAAGAGCATAATGTGAAGGAACTGTCCCTTTCAAATAACTCTACAGTTTGCCTGTAACTGCACGGCAAATTTTGTGTTACAACTGCTGATTCTTAAACCCAAGTCAAACATAACTCCAACAAAGTGAACAAAATTGTACTTTCTCCCCCAAACAAATGATTAAAGTAGGAAATGGCTGAACTGCATAAGTCTGTCTCTGAAATTATTATGTGATGTATTAGTGTGTATTATAGTATTATGGTACCATATATTAAACAATAGACAGTGGACACTACATAATTGATCCACATACGATTTGTTAATATAAATCATGATCCATTCATGACCTGTTCACCTGCCTAAATGAGGGAAACTATAGCCTAATATTGCAAACAATACAGCCATCTGCTCATCAAACACTATGACATTTAGAGAAGCTCATGAAACCTGAAACTGAATCAATATGTTTATCGACTAATACAAAGAAGGGAAGTGCTGCACAAACAAACTGTATAATGACTTGAGCATTACAGAGGGATGTGAAGTCAGGAAGATTCCATGCCATTCAATAACCCACTTAAGAAGAGAGGATGTTCGGAAACTGTCCTGTATGGTTTTCAAAGTGGGTACAGTAACTGCAGTGTGATATTAATAATAAAAGAAACAGAGCAGAGTTTTGCTGCACATATTATCCAGCATGCTTTTTCATTTTATCAGCATCATTTACTTTAATCGTACATAAAATGTTAGGCTAACGGCTTTTAATCTAGTCCTAACCATAGCCTAAGAGTTGTTTCATATTGAGCAACGTTGCTTATTTGTTAAGGGTTTGTAAGCTCCTAGCATGCATTGCAGGATGAATTAAGTATTGGATTTATTGTTTTGCTGTATGCTGACTTGATTTATGTTGCTGTTTTTTTCTTTATGGTGTTTGTTGACTGTCATTGAGGTTTGTGTGTTAATGGTTGAGGACCATGTCAACATTTTACAACTACACATTATATTCTCTTCAGAGGCCAAGATCACTTCATTCAACTGTGTAAACAATGAAATAAAGAAAAATAAAGATGACTTATTTAGCTTATTAACACGTTGTTCAACAAGAATTGTGTACTTTTTTTGACATCAACTTATTGGATGAATGAGATGTTTTTCATTTGTCAACTGATCAATTCAAATTGTACAGAGAAAGTACTGTATTTCAATTGTTCAGTGTTCAATTATGCACATATGTTGCCTTGTTTCTTTTCTTAACAACTCGACAACTGTGTGATGAACAGCCATTCTAAAAAAAACTAAATCAATAGATGGGTGTGCGTTTCCATCAGAAAGCTTCTAATTTTACCAAAAGCAAGGGAAAAAAATGTACATAGTCCCTGAGGATTCCCTGTCAGGTCAAGACAGAGCTAATGTGGTATATCAGCAGAGTTCACCGTTTTCACAAACTCGATTTTAACAACGCACACTTTGAAACCCATTTTCAAAAGTTTGCTTTTTCAGGCCCTTATGTAAATGAAACACCAAAATGCATAAAACGTTTTCCTTTTTAGTTGAATATGTATTGTGTAAACGCCCCCTTAGATGTCTTTTAAACAAAATCACAGAAATTCATTGTTTTTATTCAAAACCTTGTTCTCACCAAATATTCATTTTTGGTGTAACATTTGGTGTGTGTTAAAAGTAAAATTAACTGTCGGCATGAAATCTTGATTTAAATCTAAATGCGTGTTTATCGATCTTATTGTGAATGATTCATCTCTGTTTCACATTTTTTGACCTTGTTATTTTTTAATCAAAATATATCATGACTGGATGGAAAAAAACAACAACATTAAGATTTCTCTCTAGCGATGTATGCAGGACTTCAGCAATCATTTAGTCCGCTCATTTAGTCCAAAACCCTATTTTTTGTTTTTTTGATAATCCATTACACTCAGATGTATACATCATATGGAAGAAAAGTTTTGCTCTTTCAACTTGAACAATATGATTG